TTCTTCCTTATAAATCAGAGTCATGTGTTGAAGGAGATGTAGGAGATGCTTCTGAGCTGTTATATTTTAGTGGGTTCTATAAAATTCTCAATAAGGGAAAGGTCAGTGTTTGTACCATAAACAGTGTTCATGAAGGCACATTTAACCACACCACCCCCCCGTCCCTTTTGGGATTCCTGGAGTGTATATAGTACTCGAACTTACTCTTCTTCGAAAGTCCCCCAGTGCCCACCACCTCCCAGAACGACCCCACTGCCCACCTGGGCGTCCTTTTTCTTAGAGGTCCTACCCGCCCTGGCCCTGGGACCAGCCCTTCATGACAGGCGAAAATGAAAAGAGGTGATTTCACCTCCTTAACAGCAGGGGTTTAGGGGCTCCACCGCCTTCAGGCTCAGCTGCACTTTCGTATGTGTGCTTCAAGTAAAAAGGATGTCGGCACACCAGTTTGTGGGGTCCTTCTGTATTTTCACAGAGACCTTGCGTGAGACTAAGACCAACAGGTGACCTTTGCATGCCGACGACACAGGTCGTTGTTCTGCTCGGTGAGTGGCGATTCCTGTGACTTTTCTGGTTGTCAGCGGAGCTCCCAGCCCACCAGCCTCCGGTGCCACACAGTGGGAAAGCTAATGGTCCCGCGCTGATTCTGGCAGAGCGGTGTGGAGGCTTAATTGAAGAATATTTTTAACCCATTATCAAGAGCATCAGGAGGAAAATGTTCAAAGAGTCTTGATGCAGCTTGCCGCTCTTTCCATTTAAGAAAGTAGATCCCCAAATAAACAAATTATAACCTGAAATAGTAATCCGTCTTTATTTTCAATCCCTTCATCTTCCCAAGATAAAGACTCTTCTCTCTGAGGGCATGAAAAGGGGCAGAACCAGCTAGACTGTTAGAAATGATTCTCTCCTCCCGTTGTACGTGAACACATAGTGCCCCTTGTTTAGAGCAGGGTGACTTTGAATGGACTGTCCTGACTAAATTGTTCAGAAGGATAGTGAACATGTCTGCTAGCCTAGTCATGGCACAGAGCGCAGTTGCTGGCAAATACTTACAGGTGTCTAGGCCACGTGAAGTGCAGGCCACAGTCCAAGGAACCTGAGTGGGCTTTTCATTATATCATGGTTTCTGGCTCCTTTATTTTTTTTATACTGAGTCAATATGCTTTCATCCTTTCAAACTTAGAGGGGTTTTTGAAGGATTGCAGAGAGATGTGCCCCAAATTATCACCACAGCCAGCATCTTAGTCGTGGATTATCGTCAAATTTAATCTTATCTATAACTCTACAGAATAGTCTTCGGCTTGATTTCTTTGATTATTTTGCCTTTTAATTTCAAAATGGCAAGAAAAAGTGCTTCCAGTTTTTTCTTTAATTAAAATAAGTAGGAATTAGCATATGAAATATCTCAGAAAGTCTAATTGAAGTCTAGGAGCTTCTTTGCTTTAAACATACACAGAGTTTCAACAGGATTTTCATTTATTGATTCTCCTTCTCTGTATTCTCGGATTTTTTTTTAATGTCAAATAACCAAAAATAGGGGCGCCTGGGTGGCTCAGTCGTTAAGCGTCTGCCTTCGGCTCAGGTCATGATCCCGGGGTCCTGGGATTGAGCCCCGCATCAGGCTCCCTGCTCTGCGGGAAGCCTGCTTCGCTTCTCCCTCTCCCACTCCTCCTGCTTGTGTTCCCTCTCTCACTGTGTCTCTCTCTGTCAAATAAATAAATAAAATCTTTAAAAAAAAAAAATAACCAAAAATATACTTCTAAAACTGTGACCAAAAAATTGCCAAAATTAAAATGCCTGAGAGTCTGTTAAGAGTTAAGACAGGTTATAGGCGCCTGGTTGGCTCAGTCAGTTAAGCGTCTGCCTTCGGCTCAGGTCATGGTCCCAGGGTCCTGGGATCGAGCCCCACATCGGGCTCCCTGCTCAGTGGGGAGTCTGCTTCTTCCTCTCCCACTCCCCCCTGCTTGTGCTTTCTCTCATTCTCTCTCCTGCTCTCTGTCAAATAAATAAATAAAATCTTTGAAAAAGAGAGAGTTAAGACAGGTTAGAATGTATACATGAAGGATGGTTTAAAAAGTGGCAGTGTAATTTTATTAGGAAAGTGAACATGGAGAAGTCTTTGTGGAATCAGTAAGAAGCTAAGCTATATTATTCAACAAAAATTTAAGGTAACTTCTCTTTCAAGTATGTGGTAGTTGTTCATGTCTCTTAAATATTGGAACACAAGGATTTCTATTCTTTTGTTCCATCAGAAATTCATTCAAAAAAATTCACCAGTATGTCTCAAAGAAAAGTGCTAACTATGGGTACATGTGGTAAAATGGTCAGTGAAAATGCTTTGCCTTAACCCTGTTAACATACAAATGTCAGTCTGATAAATGCAGTATCAGATTATACCAGTATCAGATCATATCAGCTGTATGAGTGCTGCAGAATGCTTTTGGTCTAAATTTTATAGTTTACAGAAAAGCTGTTATTTCAGAATCTCTCTTGCCTCCTTGTATGGTCAGCTCATTTTAAGCATCTGTAAAAGGCACTTGCAAAATGGAAAAGTTGCCCATTTTCTGGCTGTGTGGACAAAAAAGAAAACATGGAAATGATTGTGTATGGAAATCAGATAATCTGAAAGCCCTTTCACCATGAAAGACTAGATGCAGAATAAGTCAGAGAAACTGAGTTTTAAGATGTTTTGTTGAACTTGGAAGAGAGTAAGGGAAATCTCCAAAGGGGCAAAAAGTCTATATAGTAATTGGAAACCGAAGGGGTGTGGTAAAAAGGCCAGGACTGCCCTACTCGCCATACCTGTGTAAGGAATTCACAGCTTAACTGCCTTGGGCAAAAAGAGATCAAGAGGTCTGGGGTCTGGGTAATGTTGGAAGCCCAAACCTGAAAGACTCTCACAGAGTGAGAATATTCACAAGGAGGTATACCCTCAGAGAAAGTGAGAGCTGAAAAAAAACCGAGCTTACCAGGAAAGGGAGTAGATGAGGAAAACGGTTTTTCCTGTTGCTCTAAGTGGAAGAAAAATAGTTCTCATTGTATTCATCATCTCCTCTGACAGTCTGCTACTACAGACTTATTTTTGGATGAGTCTGGGGTATAAATTTACAATTCTTGCAGGGTCATGGAAACCCTAACCTAAAAAAAATTTAAATAACAAATGTCCAGGTTGGCAGAACTCTCTGGCACCTGTGAGATATAAGCATTAAGTCCTCTCTGGAGGAAAGCATTAACAGTTGAGCAGTTCCCTCAAAAATTCCTCCAGATTTAGCGTATGCAGGGTTACCATAAAAAATACCAAATACTCAACACAGCAACCCAGGAATTACCAAATGGGGAATAACACAAGCCATAGGTCACCAAAGTCAACAAAAACAGTAAACAGACTAGGTCCCTAATGCCCTAAGGACACTGGAATGCTGATTTTTAATATGAAACACGTGCACGGGAAGTACATAAAGAAAGAAATCGAGACGGGAATAAGAGACCATCCAAAATGTTCGGGAAGATTTGAAAAGGAAGCGAATAGAATTACAAGGAAAAAAACAGAATCATCAGAAATAAAAACTCAGTAGATTGGTTAAGTAGAGGGTCACACACAGCTGAGGAGAGAATGAGGGGATTGGAAGATCACGAGAGACATCACCCCACATGAAGCCCAGAGAGACAAAGGAGGTGAGAAATAGTCCAGAGGAAGATGTTGTAGGGATGAGAGAAGGAAAGGATGGAACACAGGTCAATTTGGAATTCCAAATGTTAAAATATTGAAAATGGGGGGAATGGTCAAGAATTGAAGGGTCTTGAAACTTCATCATAATAACAATTTAATAAATAAATAATGAAAATTTTGTTTTTATTTTAATAAGCTTGCTACAGTTTCACAGATGCTCTTTGAAGATGCAAGACTTCAGGGCCAGATACAAAGGACTTTATTACAGTGCATTAAGCATCCTGAGCTGTATGTTCACGCCTGTTCCCCATGCTCCCCAAGTCACATGAGGGTGATGCAGAATGAGTTGTGCAGGAGGTCTGAGGCACATCCAGAGACCCCAACATTTTAAAAGATTGGACTGTAAGCACATCTCTTTGGCCGTCAAAGAGAGACATTATTTTATCTCCAGGAAAGTAAACAGATCTGCTCTCTGTGCCAGAGGGGGAGACTCTATCTTCTAAGGTTGTTTGCTGTACAGACATCCTTGTAAAGTTGTTTGTTGAAGGTGTAAAGATAGAATTTTCCGGAAATGTTGAAAGATTGGCATGTTCATATAGAGGGAATACACTATATACCAGGCAACACAAATACATATTTAGACATATCATGGTGGGACAGCAGGACATTAAAGACAAAAGAGGAGACATTAAAAGCAACCAGAGAGAAAAAATAGTTCAAATTGACAGGCTACTTCTGGTTTCTTGTTTGGAAAAGCAAAGGGTCAAAAATAACCAAGACCTTCCTAAGGAAGAACCAGAAGAGGAGAGATAGGAGTTCTTGCCTTATGGAGACCAAGGTCTGTTATAAACCTAGAGTAATGAAGACTGAGGAATTAGGATATTAGTGTAGACAAAGAAACCACTGGAACTGTATAGAAAGCCCATACATGATATATGCACACGTGCAAACTTGGTTTATGGCAGCACGCATGTTGCAGATCAGTGGGAAGAGGAGGAACTGTCCCATTAGCAATGCAGTTGCAGGATTATACACGTGGAGGAAGAAAAATGAAACCAGATTGTGACATACAAAGAAAATCAGTTCCAGGTAGATTAAATATTTGAATCTTTAAATCATGAAACCAACTTTTAAAAGGAAAGCAAAACTATGGAATTTTCAGTGAACCAAAAAATAAATAAAAAAGAAAGAAAGAAAAGCGAGTGAGCAAGAGAGAGCCTCTCTGGGAGCTGAAGGAAGAAACTGACAACAAAGGTGATGTTGCTGAATGCTCTCTAGCTGTATGTGTGGATGCATGTGTATCAGACTGTATCACACACATCATGATGGAAACTGTTGATGAAGATGAGGCTGCAAATTTAAGACCTGAGGCAAAACCGGGAAATGGAGGTGGGAGCGAAACCAACACCTGGCTCAGAGCAGTGGCCTTGCCGCCGCCGCCACTGCCGCTGCCGCCGAGGGTTTCTCTGGCCAGTGTTGCTCCGACCCGCCTACAGCATGGGAAATATCTTCGCAAACCTCTTCAAGGGCCTTTTTGGCAAAAAAGAAATGTGCCTTCTCATGGTGGGCCTGGATGCTGAGGGGAAGACCACCATCCTGTACAAACTGAAGCTGGGTGAGATGGTGACCACCATTCCCACCATAGGCTTCGACATGGAGACGGTGGAGGACAAGAACATCAGCTTCACTGTGTGGGACGTGGGTGGCCAGGACAAGATCCGACCTCTGTGGCATCACTATTTCCAGAACACACAAGGTCTCATCTTTGTGGGGGACAGCAACGACAGAGAGCGTGTGAACGAGGCCCGTGAGGAGCTCATGAGGATGCTGGCGGAAGATGAGCTTAGGGATGCCATCCTGCTGGTGTTCGCCAACGAGCGGGACCTCCCCAACGGCATGAACGCGGCTGAGATCACAGACAAGCTGGGGCCGCAGTCCCTGCGCCACAGGAACTGGTACATTCAGGCCATCTGTGCCACCAGCGGGGATGGGCTGTATGAGGGACTGGACTGGCTGTCCAATCAGCTCCGGAACCAGAAGTGAGCCACGCCCCCGCCCCTCCTTCCACCCTGTTTTACTCTCATGTGGTGGGAGTGCCAGAAGCTGTCTCCATGGTTGGTCACAGTGTGCTTCACCATGCTGTAAATGTGCAGACGCAGCCTGCAGCCGGGTTTTTATTTAATGTAAATAGTTTCTGTTCCCAAAGAGGCAGTTTCTGGTACTCCTATGCAATATTACTCAGCTTTTTTTTATTGTAAAAAGAGAATCAACCCACTGTTCAATACTGAGAAGGGATGTTAGGCACGCGGGGCCTCCAGGAGTCACTGTGTCCAACCAGCCTGCCAAGCCTCCTCTGGGCATTAGGTCTGTGTTGAGATCCATTTTGGTGGTTGGTTTTTAACCTGAACTCAGTGCATTTTTAAAATCGTTACAAATACAAGATAAGGAGAACACTTGAACACACAGACGGGAGAAGCGTGCCTAGTGTCGGTTCTGCAGTGGCGGCCAGGGTCTAGTCCACCAGTGATCCGTTTCCCGTCGGGAACGTGAGACAGGGCAGAACCAGCCACAGTCCATTCTGCATGGTCACGATAGGGTCCCTGTGATTTGCTCTGTCTCAGGTCATCCCGCATCCCCTAGGGTTTAGGCTTGTACTTGTGCTCACACAGCCGCCCAGGAGACAGGCTGGGGGCTGCGGCCACCGCTCACGGACCCCTTGGAGGGACTCTGGCCTTCTCTTGGGTCCGCGTGGGCACTCTGGCTTGCTCCGGGCTGCCTGGGGTCTCACCAGCAGGAGTGCGGGGGCGCGGGCCAGTCACCCTAGAGCCTCAGCCCCTGGAACTCCTGTCTACATGTGCTTTCACTCCCTCAGCCTGCAAGGGTCGGATTTGCCATCGAAACAATGACCTCTACTGTTTTCTTTTGTATTTTGATAAACACTGGAGAAGCTGGAGCTGTTAAACTTTTTCTTGGGGAAATCCTCAGAACTGGTTTATTTGGTGTCGTGGAACCTCTTAGTGCTTTCAACACACGATTAATAATCAACTGTTTTGTATACTCGTTTTCAGTTTTCATTTCGGCAAACAAGCACTGTAATTGTAGCTACTAGAATAAAATGTCTTAACTATTAAAAAAAAAAAACGGGAAGTGGAAAATTTGTGGACATAATTTCTTTAGCTGAGGGTGACCGCGGAGGTGACGTGGTACTCTGGGGGCTGACAAAGGCCTTACAATGGACACGGTGTCTGTCCCTACACTCTGGCATTGAAACATGCAAATGCAAAGCCATCCGAGGGATCCTTTCTGAAACTTTAAGACCTAAGGACCAGTGGTCATAGGATTTTGTAAACGAGACCACCAGGCCTCCTGCACAAAGACTTTGTATTCAACTTCGTTTAATGTAGATTTGAAGTTAGCTTTTTCATAAAATAAAAGAAACCCAGAATGCAAAAAAAAAAGGGGGGGGGGAAGCATTTCTTATACCAAGCGCAAAAAAACACAAACCGTGCAAAGGAAAAAAAATTGATAAATTCAACTATATCAAAATAAATGTTCACTTTATCAAAAGGGTATGCTTAACAAATTGAAAAGACAAGCCACAGTGGGGAGAAGTAATCTGCAGCACATATCGCTGAGGATGGTTCAGTATCTAAAACAGATAAAGAAATTATATGAAGAAAGTAACACTAGGTCAGAGGTATGAATAAACATTTCAATGAAAAGGAAACATTAATGGTGAAGAAACAGGAAACACAGTCAGCCTCATTAGTGATCAGAGAACTACAAATTAAAACCACAGTGATACCATTTTATATCTACCAGTTTGGCAAGATTAAAATTTAGAACAGTACTGTTTGTGGGGAAGGATGAGAATAGCAGGGATTCTCATGTACTTATCATCTCATTCCCTTCAAAGACCCAGGCAGCCAAATAAAGTCTGGCATTCCTTGTGTTGTATTACATGTGAGGAGAAAAGTGACTTAACTGAAAAGTTACTCTGCGTTCTTAATAAACACCAAGTTATCTTTGATGCCAAAATATTCTCTGATCAAATCTTGAACATGGGGACAGACTTGGTTTATATTTTCAAGGGGAAAGAAAGATCTGCTGAGAAAAATCTACAACATTACCAGATGACACCAGTTTTGTTGTTGTTGTTTTAAATCTCAACCCCCAAGTTGAGTAGATAATTCAAAAGACAACGTTAAGGAAGAGTCTTCTCACATATATTGTGGTTTTATTTCTGTTGTAACTGAAGTTGACAAATTGGCATACAAAATGAAAAATCAAAAAAACCCAAGATGCACAGTGATTAGAGGAAAGGAAAAGGAGGCAGAAGCCGCTAAAACTCCTTGTGTTTGAGATGAAGAGAAATGATAGCACAATACCCGATTATCCGCTAGAAGAATCCAGTGGACGATCACGCTGTGCCTTGGCGTGAGCCAAGGAGGACTGCCGACTTTGATGATCACAGGTTCAGGAGCTGTCTGGGGGGGGTGACCCTGGGCAGCTGGAGGAAATTGTGGGAGAAGAATGAGAATTTTCCAAACTCTCAGTTCTGCATGCACACACAAAAATCTTACTGAGAAGAGTAAGCGCTAAAATTGTTTACTGAATTGTTCTTATTGTTGAGTATGATTAAAGTGTGGCAATATTAAAAAATGACCCCAAAAAACCCCATAAGGCTAAAAATCTAACCTAGGATAACTACATGGAGAACGTTGACTGGTTCTTTCAGTTATTAGCTTTTGAGTAACTTTCAGTATCCAGTGAGATCTATGTGTATATACTCCTGTTATCCAGCAGCCTGTTTATTAAAAAGTTTTTAATGCATGAATTAAATTAGATAATCAAGTTAGTTACCAGGTTAGCCAGATGAGCTCTGGGAAGTACTGAAAGTTACCACTTTGGGGAGAAATTTTGCAGCTCAGATTAGAACACTTGTCAAACTTGGTGGCAGGAGACTAGGTCTGAATCAATATTTCTGCCTGGAAGTCACATAACCTCTATGAGAGATTAATGTGGTTAGTGTTGGACTCTGTATTCTCCATCAGCTAAGTATGTGCACTTGTCATTCATATTTTGTTTTTAGCTTGTAACACTGACAGAAAAATCTCTGTGGAATAAAGAACCAGTTTCCTGAGTGTATGAAGCTATATTATATTTGCATATTTCCAGGATTTAAAGGGAAGTGTGTTTTTCCTTGAAACACTATTTATCTGTTTGTTTCTTCTAATTTTTTGGTACTGAAAAACATCATTGATAGCTATGAACATGTCTGGCTCACATTTTGTTTCTCCTGATTCTAATTTTGTTGATTAAATAGTGCAAGAAATGAGAATTTTTTTTTAATTAAATGACCTATCTCCAAGAATTTTTTCGGTAAAAGCCCTGAATAAAATTTGTCACTTTTGTCAAAGCCACTTTTCTTTTTGCATCACATAATGTGTTTATGGAAGTATACCGTAAGCTAATTCTGTAAGGTCAGGTAAGCGCTTGCAGCTTTACCCCCTGTTAATTCAAGAACAGGATTGGGCATATGCTATGTATGCTTGGTTGGTTGAGGGTGCATGATGGAAAGGAATTCTGGAGTTACCAAGAAATCACTTGTTGAAACACATCGATTTCATAACAACCCCACCCGACAGCTACTGGTCAGAGCCTTGAAAGAAATGGGGTTCTTTTTGCTCACCTTATTTGCTTTATTTTGTACATGATTATAATCCTCTTAACAAATAACCAATGAAACAAAAACTTAACCTCATTCATAATAGCGGTGATTGGAAATACCAGAGTGCCCCACAGCCTATGATTGGGGAAGTCATGATGCAGCAGTATGATTGAGTGCTAGACAGCCATTTAATGCTGTGTAAGCATTGGGGAATGGCTTTGGGGAATTTTTGTAATATATTACAAATTTAAAAAGACTCTATACCTATACTTAATGCAAATGTGTATTTAAAAAAGTTTTGAAGGATACACTTTAAATATCAATAGTGTTGTGAATTGGTAGGATTGCTCTTTACACTTTCTATTCCTTCCTGATATTTCTCTAACTACATGCAACTTAATTCATCATTTTAAGTAACAACATGTAAATGTTCTAATAAAATTTCAGAAATAAAAGTATTAAGGAAAAAAGGAAACATACTTCCTGTATTTTTGTTATTGTAGCACTATTCAAAATGATTATTATAGAGTTGTTACATATGTATTATATATACATATATACAAAATTATATATATAATTATAGGACTATTGAGCATGTATGCCACATATTCCACTAAGCCCTTCATGTAAGTTTTTTTATTGATTCCTCAGGATAATTTATGAAGTTGAAGGAAAATATAATCATCCCCACTTTATAGATCAGCAAACTGAGGCTTTAACCAATTAAGTTTTTTTGCCCTCAGTAATGCAGCTACTGAGTGACAGAGCCCGGCTTTGAACCAGAATCTGAGACCCAAGCCCATGTTCTTAAGCTTTTGCCTTTATCATCCCATGACTGGTCTTCCATGTCTCACTGTGGAAGAAGATACAAACTTCGTTTGAGCGAAAATTTTAAGGACTGTTAACAATTGAATTGAGTGGTTCGCCCCTATATTATATTCTCAAATATCCATTGACTAATGATTAGATTGTATTTTGCACATTTTATGGAATGATGCAAAATGTATGTTTCTTTTTAGGAAGGAAAAGGTGTATGTGGGTTGTATCAATGATTGTGATTTTGAAATATATACTGACAGATTTCCTTCATTTTGGGGTGTGTATGTGTGTGTATGTGTTTGAAGTTTGGAATAAGCACAATGAGCCACACAGGGCAAACTATTTGTGCTACAAGGTCATGCTGTGACCCTCTGAGGCTGGACAGCTGACGTTACCAGAGGGCATATGGAAGGAAGGGCATTGCTAACACAGAATCTCATGAGTTTAGGAACCCAAGACGAGGTGTATGTGAGAACACTGTTTCCAAGACCAGCCAAGGCACCCATCAGCTCTGGTGTCACATTTGAGCCTCAGTGAACTTTTGTGACATCCCTTCAAGAGTACCGTTCTTTCCCACTCTCTATAAGATTTCCAAAAGCACATCTCAGTAACTAATCCACTGAAAATGCAGTCTTGTCTGGCATTATCTTCTGCCTGCTCTTCTGAAATCAAGTACAACTAACTTCAATCAAATCATAATAAAAAATTGGGCTAAGAGAATAAAATTACACTCAACATGTCTAGTCAGAGAGCTCTTTAGGCTGTTAAGCATTTAGCGGATACATATTTGCATACCCAAGTATAATGTTGCAGATTTTTAAGCCATTGAATGAATGAATATTTAAGAAAAAGAACTCGCGATTGTTTTAGTTCATGCGCATAGTTTCCAGCACATTTATACTCACCCATCCTGTGTGGAGGCGAGGCGGAAAGCCTCATC